AGTATAGGAAAAAGCCACTAGCAAGAATCCACATACGTACGCAGCAAAATACAAGTGGAAGATAAGAAAGCAAATTGCTATTCCTAGCAATACTAGAAGAGAGATTTCTAGCGCTTTCTACTAACTTAAACTAGGGCACTGTTACCTAAGGGACTACCTATATAAGAGAGGGAAAGTGGATTCTAATAGTTGCCCCTGCAACTATAGGTCTATACAAGACCTACCTTATATTCTATTTAGATGTAATCTATATAGAGAGGAAAGGAAAGGACTAAGAGAAGCCTGCGAAGGCGATCTATCACTACCTATTCTCCTTTAAACAAAAGAGGGTATAGAAGCAACTATTACCTTTATTCAAGAAACAAAGGCTAGAACACAAGCCTAGTACAAGGGAAACACAGAAAACGAGGAGTAATACCTATAACAGGTAGCCATACACCTCCCCCACCCTATCCTCCCCCCCCCCTACCTACCAACTAATAGGCTACGAGCCTCACCTTCATCTAGTTAAAACCCCTCCTCAATATCGTAGCTAGAAACAACCTACTTAGATACTTGTAGGCCTAAAAACCCTACACGTCTTATATAGCCCTTCGGGCTAAAAAAGGACGTTAAACTAGAATAATAATAATAATAATAATAAACAGTAGTAGTAGGTAGCTGCGATAGTGATAAGCAGTTGTGGTAGTCACGAGCTGCTATGGTGGTGGTTTGTGTCAGTTGTGCAGATCGTAAGAATCATCTATCAATGTGTATGTATACGCCCTATACTCCTTCAGTGCTTTGTTATGCTTTCGCAAGGTTTTCCTAAATAATATCCAATAGTGGGACTGCGCGGGAACGGCGATTGGTAAGCTCCGGTTCTCGGCCTTTTCCACGGGCCTTTCTGTTAAGCTTAATACATATATATATCGAGGCGGTGAGTTGCCGTGTCGTCGCAACACTTCGGACTCTGGGCACATCATTTGAGATTCATCCGGTATTCGAGTTCTCCCGTTAATCTATCTGGATCGAAAACAACCTTCTATCAGCGTTATTACTCAACTATCCCTGTCAGCATCGTTCTAAAAGGGTTTAGGTCTAAACGTGGATCCGAAGCACGTGGTTACAGCGTCAATCGCAGCTTTCCAAACAAACATCTGAGACAACATGCCTAGCACGTCGCTAGTGACGGGGGCGAGTGGCTACATCGCAAGTCACTTAGTAAAACAACTCCTCGAGCTCGGTGACACTGTCCATGCAACAGTACGCAGCTTGAAGAATGAGAAGAAGATCAGCCATTTGCTCGAATTGCAGAAAGAGTGGCCTGCAAATCTAATCTTATATGAAGCGGACTTGAATATCGCCGAATCTTTTGATGAAGCAGCGCGGGACTGCGTGACCGTCTATCATGTCGCATCACCTTTCCTGATGGAAGAGCAGATAAAAAATGCTAAAAAGGAGGTCATTGAGCCTGCTCTGAAGGGCACTCAAAACGTCCTAGCCGCAGTTGAACGGAGCACAAGTGTGGAATTGGTTGTCATGACTTCGACTGTCGGGGCGATCTTTGGTGATTACGCGGATGTTCTTCAAATGGACAACAGAACGCTGGCTGAGCAATACTATAACACCACCAGCTCACCTACCCACAACGCTTACCATTATTCAAAGGTCATAGCGGAAAAGGAAGCATGGAGATTGTATGAGGCTCAGCAAGCGAAAAGATGGAAATTGATGACCATCAACCCGGGTTTGGTACTTGGGCCTTCACTCTCGCCAAATTCCGATTCCGGAAGCCTGTTCCTTTTAGACGAGCTGATGAGGGGGAAATTGTGGTTCGGTGTTCCAAACATATGGTTCACTACAGTCGACGTGCGTGAAGTTGCTCAGGCGCATATAAGAGCTGCACAAAACCCAAAAGCAAATGGCCGATACATTCTCGCACACGAAGAGATGACGAGTTTCAAGGCAATATCGCTCATGATCCGCAAGCATTGCTCGACTTCCATCCTCATACCACGACATCAGATCCCGACAATTGTGACCAGAGTGGTAGGGCCATTGTTCGGGCTTACTCAGAAATGGATGTCATTAAACCTTGGGGTCAAGTTTGCGGTCGACAATAAGCGAAGCATCACGGAGCTAGGAATCGAATACAGACCTCTTCAGGAGACGATTGTGGACCATTGGAAATCCTGGAAGTCAAGCTCGAAATAGAGAAAGGCTCTCTTGGACTGGTCTCTGACCGACCTTGGCATTCGCTCCTTCCCTGGACTGTGGCTGGCTCTATCTGTCTTTTCCAAACGTGCTTTGAACTATGGGGAAGCTACTGTAGAATCCTTACATACAAATTGAACTTTTTAACTATATTTCGATACTGAAGAGCAGCTTTGAGATGTTGAGGTTTGTGGACGCGCGAAGTACTAGAGCACATCTAGTAACAATCGCGGATCGCTGCTGTCGGCATGACTCTCAACATCTCCCATTAACATTGAGTCTGTCACAGCAAACTTGTCGCTTGTGGCATCGCCCCTTTGTCTATGAGACGTGGCATTGTTAGAAACAATTCCTCGATTAAGAGTTGCGCTACTGCTGATGAACGCTTGTCTTTCCCACTCAGCGTCTCCGCTTTTTCCTTTTCCTTGCCTTCTTTGTCATGATCGGTATGAGTGAAGATAAACTGTTTTTCTCTCTTAGTTATGATTTTACTAGATGTAACCCTTGTATATGATTCTCTGTGGCGCATTGCCGTGCCAATATTGAAGACGATCACATTTGCAGTCATGATAGATAGACGACTTCCAATTGAAACTTGGGATTTCTGACACTTTCAGACTCTGTGTTTACTGTGAGATTTTGGTTCCAGTACTTCGGTGGAGACTTTGGAAGCTGAGATATTTGTGAAGTAGGGTTCATCTTCCATCGAGACTTGAGATTCGGTCCCCATCCTTCTTCTTTTCTACAAAGTCATATTACTATTACCGGATTACTCTGATTTAGAGTAACACGCTTCAGTAAAGAGAGCTTTATTTCAATCTATAGAAATTCCTGAACTGCGCTCGCGGTGTTTTGCAGATCCTCAAATAAGTGCCAATGGCCAACATCATCCAGAATACGCAAACTCGCCTTGGAGACTATTCTTTCAGTATAACCTTGGCACACATGCGGAGACGAGACTTTATCATGACTTCCGGTGATGATAAGAGTCTGAGACTGCAGTACAGTAAAGTTAAGCGGCTTGGCTTCAGCAAGAGCGGTGCAACCCCTTGCATAGCCTTCTGGATCCTGGCCAAGAAGCGACATTCGTACTGCTGCTACAGCGAGTGGATTCAATTTCTTTGTTGTATCAGAAGTCCCAGCCGTCGCTACTGCATCGACCACAGCGTGCATGCCTTTACTACGCACTATCTCAGCACGTCCGTGAACGGCGGTACTCATGGCTTCTGGTAGAGGCGAAGGCGGTGGTCCAATGAGAATCAGCTTGGATATCTTGTCGGGATGCTTCAACGCAAACTGCACAGCTGCTAGACACCCCATCGAGTGCGCTATCAGCGTAGCATCAGGAGTGAGTCTCGCTCTGTCAAAAACGCCATGAATGTCATCTGCAATCGTGTCGATGCTGATCTTGCTGAGAGGCGACGAGGGTGATAATCCGTGGCCCTCCAGATCAAATAAATGTAATGTGTGCGAGTTTTCGAGACCGAGAGCCTGGATCAGTGGCGTATAGAAGTCTGAAGTGCCCCCAAGTCCGTGGACAAAGACAATGGGTGGTCTGGATGGTGTGCCAAAGCTCCTGTAGAATAGGGGTTTGTTGTTGATTTGTGTCAGCGAAGTCAATTCCACACTTTTAGTAGCATTGCATTGCTGAAAACTTGACTGTGTTACAGCCTTTTCGATGGTTGGGTTCTTCGAATCCAGGTTTCCAATACGATTTATCAAACTGCCTAGGCCACCTACCGCCACAGTCACAGTGTCGCCTGGTTTCAGGTAGACGGGAGGCTGCTTGCCGATACCAACGCCAGCAGGCTGTTGAGGTTGGAAATAATTAGCTCTTGAAATTGAACCAGTCTTCTTCGTGGCGTGCTTACAGTTCCTGTAGCAAGGACATCACCTGGCATCAGTGTTTGACCCTCAGACATTGTTTTGATCAGATACGGAATGGAAAAGATTAGATCTTCCGTTGTTGCATTCTGTCGTAATTCGCCATTGACATGTGTCTGCACTCGCAAAACTTTGTCAACCTTAGACGCAGGTACCGCAATAGGGCCCTGTTTGGTTCGAGTCAGTGCAGCTCTTATGGTGATCGCTATTACAGGTTTCACTTTACCATTGGGCAGAAAGTATCAGGCGATTTGCCAATATAGAACTGCTTGTGGTCCCTTTGTCGCTCTCGAGCTGTCAGGTCATTGACGATTGTGTAGCCCCATACATAATCCATCGCGTTCTCCTCTGAGATGCGAAACCCAGCCTTGCCAATAACAACGCCAATTTCGCCTTCATAGTCAATGGTTTCTGTAAACCCGGGATGCGGGAAAACTTCCTCGCCATCTGCAATAATTGATGTGAACCGTTTGGTAAATATGACGGGATGAGAGGGCGTGGCCACTTTGTCCGAACTGTCAAATCCAGAACTGTTGAACTCCTCGGCATGTTCGGCGTAGTTCTTCCCAACACAGAGAACATCCCGCCCCCTAAATGGGGGGAGTATCTTAACCGAAGATACCGGTACAGCTTTTCCCGAAGCGACGATGTTGGATTCTCCAACTTCGATAACCTGGTTTATGTTGTCTAAGAACATACCAGACAACAAGGCCAATGGCTGAATGGTTTTGTTTGCGAGATCGTAGTGCCCGACACGATTACGGCTTGCAGAAACGTCTTGAAAGCATACATAGTTTGTTAGGGAAGTGTGTCCGTTTGCCGAATCGAGTGAAGCCATAGTTGCAGGCAAGATATCTTTTCTCCTCACTGCTGAGATTTTGGGTACCTCAAAAGGTTTCCTGTGGTCGCGCAATATATAAGGCTTGGGGTACTTGACAACAGAGATGGCAATGTAATGCCGATGATTGAATTGACTACTACTGCGTCATAGGTGTAGCGGGTAGGGATGAAAACATGTCGGTCCGCGGAAGAGAAGCTCGCGGACATGGCGGGGGTAAATGCTGTGGAGCGGGGTTCTCTTCCGCGGACATGGCGGCGCTCCGCGCTCGGCGGATGTCTGCGGCCGGCGCCACTCTTCCCCATGAGATATGTCAACAAGACATTGCCAATTTCATGTCACACGAATACCAAAAAATCATGTACTGTGGGCATGCCGTATAACGCGGCATATATTCATCGCCAATTTTGCAATTGTTATGGAAATACGCATGATGACAGATGACTAAAGCGATTTTAATCACATCAAAACCCAGTGTACATGACGGCAGTACAAGGAGGACGTAGCACTACTATTCATTGTGAGATAGGATGGTATTTTAATGCCAGTTCTATTCTCCTGCTTTGCCCAAATGTACTGACATCCACAAATCTCGGTATTCTTCCCACCTGATTTCATCATCTTGTGTGTGAACGTTTGTGACAGGCCGTCCCCAAACCCTTATGTCATCTTTCAAATAAAATGGACAGAATTGCCACGAACGATCTTGCCCTCTGAATTTCAATCCCTTTGAGTGCCGCCTACGTGGTTGTGTATGAACTGAGTACAATTTTGAACAATCTTGTTGGCAACAATATACGAAGAGCCCGTCCAATCTTTTTTCGTCGCTTTGACGTGCGAGAGCGACCTGATCAGCGGATAGTATGGGTAGCTCAGAGCCGGGGGCATTCTCATGCACGAATGGGAGGGGCTGCAATGGCGCATTTGTCGCTTTTTCTTTTCTCAAACGGGAGGTGTAACCTGTGTCTAAGTCATGATACCTTTTTGTCTCAAGTCTTGATCAACCCATCCCACAGCCCGTTTGCGCCGTGGTGGTGGTGGTGAACGTTATGTTTTTGCGCATGGCTTTCAGCCAACACATGTTGCGTGTTGAGTCTTGGTGCTTGGAAAAGAGGGGATACAGTTGCGGCTTTGGTCGTTGATCGTTGCCGAGAAGGAAGATCTAAACAAGATACATGCGGGGTAACGGGATAACATTCAAGGCTGAGGATTCGGCTGAGCGGTCATAAGCACGGGGTGGAAATGGCGGATATCGATTAGTTGTCCTAGTGTTACACCACGTATAGTATGGTGGGGAAACGGCGACGCCAACCAATAATGCAACACGCCCAATCTGAATGTCTAATCATCTACTGCGTCATGAGATACTCTCTTGCCTCGGAGATTGTCGCGGCGAGTCTATTCATTACTGTCCCGTTGGCAGTGTTTCCTCGTGTAAAAAGAATCACACATTGACGCTATCTCTTCTTACCTCAGTTGCATAATCATTTCTTGTCATAATTACACAATGTCGCTTTCACGTATCGACTCAGCCACTGCTGCTGAGAAAAGGTCATGGCCTCCAGTTAACGTGGAGCCAGAGCCCTATCAGGGCATTCCTCGGAACATCGAGTCCATCAAAAACCTCCAGTGGGATGATAGTCTTCAACCTGAAAAGTACGAGATCCATGGGACACACCCCGAGTCAAAGATTCTATTCCTTGACGTGAACATTCTGGATTCAACCGGCAAAAAGCCCTATCGAGGAGATGTTTTGATCAAGGGTTCGTGAGAATTTCAAGGTTCTGCATGACGATGTGAAGCATACTGCTGATGATTATATCACAGGGGAGAGGTTTGTAGCAGTTGGTGAAGTACCAAGAGTAGAAGAGCTCAAGACACAGGTCGGCGTCAGAGTCTTCCACGGAAAAGGTCGTACACTAATGTCAGGGTTGGGAGACTCTCATACACACTTTAGCTGGAATGGCGGTGACCTTGCCCAATTAGGAACGCTGGGCGTTGAAGAACACACTCTCCTGACCATGCGAAGTGCACAGTGTTTCCTCGACTCTGGATACACAATGTGCTTTGGCGCTGCGTCAGCAAAAGAGAGGCTGGATGTTGTGATCAGAAATGCCATCAATGCTGGAGACATACCCGGTCCTCGCTACTTGGCCAACGGAAAGGAAATGGCGCGCCGAGGAGGGGAGCTTGTTGAAGGCACCACAGCTTTTGCGGATGGACCGGATGAGATGCGCAAGGTAATCAAGCACCATGTGGATCTTGGTGTTGATAACATCAAACTGAGCATGAGTGGTGAAGAAGTAAGTAACCAATCTGAGATTTTGTTTCTTCTGGAATTCTGCTGATGTCTTCTCGCGGATTACCGAGACGCGGTCGGCACAGGACTGCTATTTTACTGACGAGGAGACGCAAGCATGCGCCGACGAAGCTCACAAGCATGGCAAGCGTTTGTGCTCGCACGCTCGTGCCCGCGACTCAGTCATCATGTCCGTTCGACACGGCATCGAGGCAATTTACCATGCCTCTTATATCGATGACAGAGGCATGGACATGCTCGAAGAGGCTAAAACAAAGCACATTGTAGCTCCCGCAATCAACTGGCTGGTCTGTACGCTGAACGAAGCAGAGGCGTTTGGATATCCAAAGGCAGCCGCAGAAAAAGCTGGCTACAAAAGAGAGCTTGATATCGCTATCGCCGGACTGCGGGAAATGCATCGCAGAGGTATCGTCGTTTTGCCTGGCGGTGACTACGGCTTTGCGTGGACACCACATGGGACCTACGCACGCGATCTCGAGCATTTTGTAAAGCTTCTTGGTTTTACCGAGCATGAAGCTATCATCGCCGCGACTGCTGGTATCGCAGCTCTATTCATGCAGTCAGGTGAACTTGGCAAGGTTCTACCTGGCTATTACGCCGACTGTATCCTAGTCGATGGAGATCCCCTTGAAGATATCAGAGTGCTGCAGGACCACGATAAGCTGAATATAATATGTATCAACGGAAGGGTGCATAAGGCCGGTCGAAGGGAATACGTACAACCTCCTATTGCAGGGCAAGACAACAATTTGCACGCTATCGTGCCAGATGAAGAATTTCCAACAGTAAAGAGGAAGATGCAGATTGACTCACAGATTCACTAAAATTCACTCAAGTTCGTTCGACCTAGCGGCAGATGTCGCTTTATGTTATAGTTCAATGAGATCCGAATTTTCCCCATGTTGTATTGCCGCACCGCCTGAAAACATGCCAGAAATGAGCGAAGTTGTACTTGGTTCTTGTGAGAGAATTCCCAAAGAGGTCAGCCAGAACTGGTGATCAAAATCCTCTAGCATACTGATCGGTCGATTCTGTATGGTGTCTCTACGTTCGTCTAGTTGCTGTCTGTGTGCCGTTGGACCGAATGCAGACGCTGATTCTGAAGATGCTTGCCGCCGGCCGTGTTCTTCATCTTGGACCTGCAACCTATCGCCCCATTGCTGGTTGCTATTATGGATAGGTAATGGCTCTGCTGTGTATCTGGAGGCTGTTAGAAATCTATACTTTCCAAACGACCATGTCACATGATCAAAACTTATAGCATGTCCCCGAGAACTGGTACAGCCTTAGAATAGATAATGCTTGTCTCCGCAAGCGTCCCAAATCGATCAACGCATTGCTTAACCGACGAAAGAATATCCCTGTGAGCCAAGTCCCAAGAGCGCTCGGTGAGGATGGCCATGAGCGATACAGCTGCATGATACGCATGGAAACTGCCAATGCCTCGAAGATACCACCTGAATGGAGAGAATTCGATCTTGGTAAAAAATACGCTATGTATACGCAGTAGTTTCTTTGCACTACGTAGAGCCTTGGAGGCCGATAAATGGCATTGCTGAGAATCTATTGAAGTTCTCATAGCGTGGTTGTGCAGGAGCATGAGTAGCTGATGCGAATAACCCTGTAGGATATTGAGATGTGCTTTGTGATATGTTGGCGGTTCGACTATTGCTGAGTGTACCAGGTACTTGTCGTGCCAACTCCGTTGTTCGCTGAGTATTTTTTCATCTAGTCTGCCGATGAGCGAGGTGGGAGGTTTTATAGCATTCCGAACAACCGGACAAACTTCATTAGCGATTTTGTAAAACGGAGTTTCAAAGAGGAGGTAAGACATCTGAGTTGCATGTCGTGAAGTGAGTGGCAAGACATATTCGTTAGCGACCAAGTCGCAGTCGTCGAGGTCTGATGGCATTTGGACTCCTTCGGATGTAGCCCATGGATCTGGTCCGAGATGGCCCATGGATGTACCTTGGATCATGAACAGCATCATGAGGCCGGCCCAGCAGCGGCGCCTCTCTTCACATCTGACAATATCAAGGCCAAAATCGCTTGGGTCGATATGGCACCCCAGGGAAAGCGCGATATGGTAGGTCATACCGAGCAACGTCCATGTTTGACCGTGACTATGGTTGATGCTGTATATAAGAATAAGTGCCTGCAATGTAGTCACATTCTGTTGCCACAAGTAGTTGTCTGCTTCAAGACACTTGAATGCCGCGTTGCGGTAACGTGTAGAGAGTTCGGCAATCTGATCGGCTACAAGCTCCTTTCGCGAGAGGTCACTAAAGAGCTCGCTCGAAGGACCCAACGCCATGGAGCATTATGAAATGCCGACGATGATGATTGTTGGACATTTGCATACGTAGCGACATTCTGAGGCGAGGTGTCTGCGCACGCATGTTTCGCAGGGAGGAGGGCCCCGCAGCCGGCTGCAGCAAATCTTTCGCAGGCGACAAGGCGCATAACTGATGGGGGAGCGCTTCTGGCGACGCTGAACAGACATGTCTCTTGAGGGGGTAGAACAAATTACGGATGCGGGGGGACACGGAGAGTCAAGCTTACGTTATCATCACCGGCCGCCCACAGCCGAACCTTACTTGGCACAGGGATAGGGTTCCCCTAAGAACTCTACATACCTTTCAAGCTATATCCTGCTGATGAATAAAACCGAAGTAATTACCGGTAACGAAGCTAAGCTGTCTTGTCAGTAGACAATAGGTAGCGTTAGTCAAAAGCAGCATTGGTTTGTCCAGCTACGCCCACCAAGTACTAGCTCAATATGATGATATGCTAGCCTGCTAAGACAAAGATCAGCGTTATATTCGGCATTCGTTAAATTGCCGTCACTCTCATTAAAGGTTCAATATAGGCACACATTAGTGCTTATGTGCAACGCCTTTTGGGTATCTCAAATTTAACACGGAAGTTGTGGTTTTCGGAAGAGGCCCAAATCGTGCAAACCAAAGGACAACAAGCACAAGGGACATGTTTAGAGCATCAAAACGCTATATTATTTTCTAAGATTACTTGCAGGATGCAAATTAAACTGGACATTGTAAACCGTCAATCCACATGCCGCGTTCTACTCGATACTGATGCGACCCGAAGTACCCATCAGCTACCATCTGAAATGCGCCACATGATTTTCTTGACTCGTGGACTGACAAAAGGATACCTTGTGCGATGGCGCTTAGGCAACTCCCTTGCAAACAGGGACGTTGATGACCTGGCCGACCTGAAGGCCCTGAGGGACCTGGCGAGGGTTGGCGGCCTCAATCTGTCCGAGGGTGATACCGTTGGCCGTGGCAATGGCAGAGAATGAGTCGCCGGACTTGATTGTGTACTGCTTGTTGGTGCAGGAGAAGCCAGAGCAAATAGGAACATTGAGAGCCTGGTTAACGGAGATGAAGTTGGGGTTTGTGACCTGCGGGTTGGCCTTCTCAAGAGCGGCGAGGGTGATGTTGAACTTGTTGGAGATGAGAGTGAGGCTGTCCATAGGGAGAACAACGTAGACAGGGGGGTTGACAGAGAGACCGTTGACACAGGTGTCGTTGCTGGGGCCGGGTGTGGCCCTGTTGATGCAGCTGTTGTTGTCGGGCGTCTTGCACTGGGCGGGGATGCTGAGTCTCTGATTGGCGTCGATCTTGTCCGGACTGGCGAGCTTGTTGTATTTCGCGATGTCGCAAATGCCAGACTTAAATTTGGTAGCAATGTCGGTCAAAACCTCACCGGCCTGGACAGTGTACCAGGTGGCATTGGTGGAGCCACAGGGAAGTTCACCGAATGGGCCTGGTCATGGTTAGTAAAGTTTGTGAGTGAGAGGAATCATACTGACCCCAGCAGCTCGGCTTCTTTCCCCAACCGTAGTTTGCTTCAGGAGCAGGGGCAGCGCTAACGGCAGCGGCCAAAAGGGCGACGGTGGCGGCGAAGAGGGTGGACTTCATTTTGAGGATTGAGAGATTCCGGTATCGAGTTGATCTGCGGTAGTGAGTATGTGTGTAAATGAGTGTGTATCTAAAAGAGTGTAGATTTACAAAAGAGTGTGGGCGAAGATGGAGATGATGCTCTGGATGAGTAGCAAAGTCAAGGGCAAGAGCGAGGGCTTTATATTATTTCCCACCCCCTTTCAGCTTCTTGACTCCGTTGTGTAGGAAGATTCTTTTCCCACGTCTTACAGAGAACGGACGCTAGTTTCGGTGCTTACTGTCTGCCGCAATTTCTCCTTGCCCTTGATTATCAGTCGTACTATTACGCGGGATCATTAAAACGTTTGACCGGGAGCTTACCAAATAACCTTAACGCTAGCGTTATGGCTCATAGCCCTTGCATAGTATATTTATGTACTAAGGAGAGCTACACATGTACAAGGAGATTTGTGCGTAAGTTGTTGAGCTCTGTATCGCTCAGGTGGCACTTATCCTTCATGTATCGTTCGGCACCACCAAACTGCTCGTCCAACATGTCAAGGCTCTTTAGCATACTCTCCCTTTTTGCGCTTATCATACGCAGCGCGGCTTGCCTTCCCTTGTCCAATGCATCAGCCGAAATACCGACTGGCGTGTTTGTCTCGGTGTCATTTCGGATACTTTCAGCAATATCATCCATCGAGCATGAAGTACCGTAAGCTTGTGAGAGCATGTATTTATTGAACCCGGGGCTCTGCGTTAACCGTGCGACGACGTGTTCGCGTATGTGACGTAGCCCCAGCTCGGTGAGCTGATATTCGCTCGCAATCTCATCTCGCTGGACCCCCAGGAAGTCAAAAAGGAGGCCGAAGAAGATGCCGGTACGGTCCTTACCCGCCGTACAATGAACCAGGGCGCCGAGCACGTTATCTTGACCTCGATCGCTTTGCTTTCCAGGAGGCGGAAGGCTCGCTAGGTACTTGAGTATCTGCGCAAAGGCAGGACCGCCGTTTTGCAGTATGTCTCTGTACGCCTCAACGAAACCAGTCACAGCTTCGTCCATGTACTGGGAGTACCTCTCCGCCAGCCGCTCCGGCGAGTAATCACTCTCTTCAAACACAGGGGCCCACGTTCTCTTTACTCCGGCCTGCTCCATGGCCTGCATCCAGCCAGGCCGTACATCGCCACTTCCATCTGCGTCCTTTCCCACGATGCCTGCCCAGCCTTTGTCGACTTCGGGTTTGGAGCGAAGATCGAAAACGTGCGCGACGCCAAGCTCACGCACAGCCTTCCAGCCTTCAAAGTCAAGTTTGGATACTTCGGCGCTACGAAAGAGTATCTTTGGCCGTATCCCCGCTCCAGACGCTGTCCTGACGGACAATGCAGCGTCGCGGAGGTTGTCAATATTGGCGACTGCATAGAACGGCGGGCTGGGCAGAGATGGATTTTCTTCCGTCGTCATGTTTGTGGCCTAAGAACTGGGCTGGAAAAGTTGTCTTGCCAAGTGCTTCTCTGGCCTTGGCTCGGCGTTGCACCGTACTTATAAATGTGCGATGTGGATATCTACGTATGGCGGCAAGCGGTAAGAGTTTTGCAACCAAGGGTAAACACGTTCCTCGACTTACAGCAGCCCCTCTAATATGATGGAGACGTATTTAACAGCGTATAGATGATGTCGAGTGCGAGAAGAGGAGCGAATCCATCCACTCTTTAATAGCACGAGCCGAGTCGACCGTTTGCGCATCTCGTCCGAGGTCGATTTCGCTGCCCCGCTGTCGCGCTAGGACAAGCCGAGGATGGCAGGAACACCCTGGGCCTCTCTGATTCATCAGCACACAATACCGGGTTCAATCAAGAGCGAAAGAAAGAACATGATGCCAAGAGCTTCCTGCTCATGGATTTTAGCAACAAAGACAATTGGTCAAAACTATCAATCATAGGAACGAAGATTCCACAATCACGTTCTAGTAGGGTATACATTTCCAGCGACGCCTGCAAAGCAACACAACCCGACAGTGAAAGGCACCAATCGTGATTCTAGAGAAACACGTAATGCTCTCACGATTCCACACGCCAAAACGCCAGCAAGGTTTGTCTCAAGAATGGCAGACGGAGCTTACGAAGGTTTGTCACAACCAATGCGACCCAGGAGCTCCTTGCGATCTCCATGTCCAGGGATGCTGATCCCACTTGCGCGGCAACTTTCTCTCCTTGCTTGTCGTCGCTGACTAGCGCCGTTCATGCGGGCAAACGTCAGCGCGTCAACACCGACTTCCTCCTCCTTTGGCGCCAGAGAACTTAGGCCAGACTCACTGCATGTGGTCGCCATGTTGAAAATTGTCTTGGTCTGGTCTTGTTCCACATCCTCGCCCTCGTCCTCATCGTCTGAGCGCAAATCTTCAGCAGCATTTCCATTCAGGACCCCGTAGACGACCTTGGCAATGGTGCCAAACCAAATGCAACACAATACTTGCAGCGTAAGGAGGAGAGCAAGAAAGTAGTAGCGAATCTGCGGATTCCAGCAAACGGGCCCATTTCGATCACTGTATGCTTTGAATAGGTTACCCCAGAGGTTATTCCCTCCGTAGGCTTCAAATTGGGCAGTGTTAGAGGCAGGGATAAATAAGGTTTGTTGAGACAAGGAATCGGCAAGGTAGCAGCCAGGGGCCATGTCGACGGGGGCATAAGCGTAAATGGACCAGCAAACCAGCATGTAGAGCACGTGGCGGGTAGCTATCCAGGAGAGGACAAACACTCCAAAAACGTAGTCGCAGGCATTTGTGTAGCCCATGTACTTGAGCAGCTTGGCAGTCTGCATGTCGTCAGTCACAAGTAGCCTTTGGCCGAGCGGGAAAGCTGCTTACCGGTAATACAATGTCGACAAAGTCCATAATGGTAAGAATGACGATGCCGACACGCATGTGGAAGTATCCGTATGACAAACACATCAAGGCGGTCGTAAAGACATGATGGGTGAACATTTGCACGTAATCCTTGCGCTTCGCTTCAACGTTGACCACCAGGATCTGCTGGATCCAGAAGCCCCACTGGACAAGGTAGTACCACTTGAAGAGGCCGTTGGCTTCTCGGAAGGGCCAGCCCTTCCAGATGCCGTGGAGATCAAGCCAAAATTCCGAATGGTACATGATGTACTGTTTGCGCGTTAGCGTTGGTGTAACCCATGTTTCTGGTGCGGTAGGACATTACCATGCCTAGGGACCACGACACAGTGTAGTAAACAATCAGCCACGCCTGCTCTTTGAATCGGTCGAGACCCTTTTTGGACCTGATGCCCCCAAGCCTGGCCAGAGGATCCAACATGTACTCCATGACTGCGACCCTCACTCCGGTGAAGATGATGCTCCATAGTAGGACAAAGGGGATATCGTCGGTTCCGCAGCCATACATGTCTGTTTCGGGGTTGTAGTAGGACATGTGGAAGAACTTGTTGGTGCGACTCCGGGCGCGGGGGAAGAAGGTGTGCGTCAAGGTAAGGAGGGTGAGGAGGTTGACAGAAATGCCTGGTTAGCGTTAGCATTGAAAAGGGTTGCTGTATAACCTTGTTCCTGTTGGTTTGTTTGTTTGGGAGGGAGAGAGGGAGAGAGAGACATACCAATCTGATGATTGCAGATGAGCATGCACAGGGAGGCCACAAGGCCCTCGTCTTCTGGCTTTGTTTGTGAGGTCCTCGGCCTCTTGGGCGCAGTCGGTACTTTTTCGGTGTGAATGGTTGAGGCGTGTGTATTTCCTAGCGCGCGGCTGCCAGCTGGCATGGCTGCTTTGGTCGCCATGGTGGGACGGGCTTTTTGCAAGACTCAATGGGTATGGGCTCGAGCGAGATGGAGGCTCGATGAAGTTTGGCGAAGCTGTGGTGTGGAGGAGCGGCGATTGGAGCGTGCCGTGGGCGTGGGAACAAAGGGCGTTGGGGCGGCGATGGTGGCCCGGCAGCGGTTCCCCTCGCTGGGTGGGCGGCAGCTCCTGTGCTATGCAGGCTCTGGGGCGTGTGTGCGTGTGTGTGTGTGGTAGTGGGCGCGGTATCTCAGCAAAGGGCAGCCATTGGGATGGGCAATGGCAGCGAGGATGGAGAGGCGTCGGTCGGCGGGCGGGTGCAGGCAGGCAGGCAGACAGGCAGACAGCAAAGTGTGCGGGGAGGGGCAGGGCAGAGAGAGCAAGTCGCAGACGGAAGCAATTGACGGGGGGGAGCGGTGTGGTGCGCCCAAGCAAAGATATTCAGGGTTTAGACGTGAAAGCGGCAAGCGCGAATGAAGTGGAAGCACCAATGCCAATCTCGCTCGACAGGCTGCGTGCGGCGGCGCGGCCAGGGCGGGCGGGCGAGGCTAGTATATGTGTGTATATGTACAGTCGTATGTAGACATGTGCAACCGCCATGGTCCAATTGCATGGCTGGCTGACCGAGGGACTGAGTGGCTGTAGACAGGACAGGACAGGTGTCGCGGGCGCGAGCCATTGCTGCTGTGCGAAGACGGATACTTGTTATGGGCCGCATGGCGGCATTCACCCTCGGGACCGCGCTACCACTACCACTACCACTACCACCACTATTACTGCCGCTGCGGGCGAGGGGCTGCTGGACCGCGGAATAACACATGTACTGCATGTATGTACCCGACGCGAGTGGGCAGCCGTCGGGCCTTGGTCGCCCCTTGGTCGCCCCTTAGTCGCCCCTTGGTCTCGCCTTGGGGCCACCACGCCCAGCCAGCCGTTGACTATGTCGCGGGCAGATAACTATGGGGCCCGCCAAGACGTCGACCTGCAAAGCTACGCTTAGCAGCTGTACATTACATGTAGGTAGGCACGTAGGCAGGTACGAGGTAGAGGTAGGTACATGTACATTACACATCTACCACCCATGTACACCATACGTCCCCAGGAAATGCAGCCGCCCAGACCTCTCGACTGCCCCGCCGTGGCCTGATGTACCCTCACCAAGCACCACATCATCTGTACATATACACTACCTACACACATGTACCTGTATTGCCTGTGCCATGGGCCGCCACCACCACCACCACCACACGAGTCATTGGCAGCCTTGGCCAGAGTCATGTCCACGCCCATGTGGACACAACATGGACAGTGCAAACAAAATCAAAATACAAGCTGCACATGCCATACACATCCACTGCCCAAAGCCCGCCTAATTCTGGTTCTGCGAGTTCAGGATCCTCAGAATCGCAAGGAACAGGTTGATAATGTCAAGGTACAGCGAAATGGCCGCAGCAATCTCCTCCTCGACGTGGTAGTGGCGCATAATCATCTGCGTGTCGACGAGAATGTAGCCCGAAAAGATGAGGGCGCATACGACGCCGTACCCCAGCTCCACCGTGCTGTTGTACGGGAAGAAGGCCGACATGAATCCAAACAGCACCACCACCCAGAGCGCCCCAAATAGATACGGCACCCAGCTCGTAAAGTCGTACTTGGACTGGCACGCAAACAGGCTGAGCGCTACAAATATGCCCAGTGTGAAGAAGACGGCCTGCAGCACAATCCGCGACTCGGTAAACGACACAATGACCGAAATCGAGTATGCTTCCATGGCCGTGAAGCCGCCGAGGAACAGCAGGTTGGTGGGATACGACTTGCGCTTCCAGAACGTGAGGCCAAGAAAGGCAAATGACCCAAACAGCGACACCCACATGGGCCACTGGTGCGTCTGAATCCATGTCCTGTATGGAGACCATGTCATTGAGACCAAACTGACCGCCGCCGTTGCGAGGAGCTGGACGGTTCTGTCCGTGGTCAGTATACATACATACATACACACACACACACATGATGCGACACGTGCATGCGAGGCCGAGGCCAAGGGGGCCTGCTTACAAGATGGCGTACACCTTCCTCACAAACGCCATGCGGATATCCAGTGTAGCCTCTGCCACGACGCCACCAAACTTGAAGTCGTCGGGCACATTGTCATTCTCACTCCGCGCCACTCCGTGCAGCAGAGCTTCCTGCGCGTCTGCGGCCTGGTAGCTAGGTGGCGCCTGCGAGTATGAGGGCGCGGGCGCAGCCTCGTCGAGCGAGTCGCGCTGCGGCACGTTCTGGTATTTGGGTCCCGTCATGGCGGTGTGGGTGTTGCGGTTTGATCGTAGGATGGGATGGGATGCGATGTGATGTGATGTGATGCGATACGATGCGAAAAGTCGACGTTGGCGTGAAGCGGTACAGGTGAGAGGGATGGGGTGAGACGCGATAGGGCGCTGCTGCCTTAATGAGGTCACAGACGCGCAACTGCGCTTCACGTGCCACCACGACGAAACTACCTCTGCCTTCCAGCTTCTTCCACCCCTCTCGGGCCACTCGTTCCCACCATTGCCATGGCAGGTCAGGTCAGGATATCTCAGGCCTATGTACTACTACTACATACATACACATGGATGATGATTTTACATGCAAGCAGCCTGGGCTTGGCTGTTTCGGTACCACGTAGGAAATGGATTGAATGGAATTGAATGGAATTGAATCCAGAGGGACAGGATGCATGCTTCAACCAGTGGACAGGCTACAAAAACGCTTGCAGCAGTGGTAATCATGGCATAGTGGCCGTGCAATGTCCCATCAAATGGCACTCGATGCCCTTTTGTTAGAGAGGATCCGTTGATTCGTGTTCTGGTCGGATGACCCTCCCCCCCCCCAACGGCAAAAGCTCTCTTCTTCAGATCTCTACATGCCCCCCTGCCATACCCTGCCCTGCCCTGCCCTGCCCTGCCCCTGCCCTCGCCGCTCCAACAAGCACAAGCACACAATGGCGTCACTTCGGCGATCCCAAGCACTAGCAGAAAACCATCTAGTGTAGAGCGGCACTGGACGAGTAGTGATGCGCCTTCTCAATAACGTATAATCTCTACTGCTGACATATCCACTCGACGGTACCACTGCCAGTACAGAGAAAGGCCCTTCGGCCCTACATCCATGTAGTCATGACGACTTATCGCCCTGTACATCGTCCAGGTGGTAGCTATACAACCATCGTGATCGTGTCAGGCGCCGATCCGTGTTGCCTGCCCTCTGAACGCCCTTGGCAGCTTCGATCAGAACATCAATTCCTCAACTCGGTCCCACACCCGCTCTCGTTGCCAATCGTCGTCACCTCAGTCCATCTTGACAGCCTCGTCAGCACGCGTCATCACTCGTCAATATGCCATTAACATTATTTTTCCTGCCTGCTTGCTATTCTGTTGCCAACTCCCGTTTCCCTGCAATCAAGTTTTTGCCAAATGCTTACTAGTCCTCACCCTTCACCCCATAACGCCAAATACCTTCCCAAGTCCCTTGTGTTGTGTGATATTTTTACATGATGCATGCTTTTGATCGCTTTTGCCCAAAAAAAAGCCCCCCTCTCTGCCAAAATAATGCCACATGATGATAGTTGTGGCTTTTCCTAGTCCTATCGAGCTTGTATATCCATATATCCTAGTTGGATGGAAAAAAATTATTATGAAGTCGTAGCCATGGAAGGTTGATCCGCAGTGTTGGGGGAATGCCGAGCGTGTTGATTCAATTTAATAAGAAAAAAAAGAAGCCCGTTATTAAAATCGTATGATGCCAGGCCCGCTGGGCTGAAGTAAAGCTGGCGGTGGTGCTTGCAGTGGTGCTGGTGATGGCTCCTGCGTTGTCCGCGTCTCGTCAGTCGGCGTGGTTGTAGTGTGCTCGTTTTCGCTCGCGGCCGGCGCCTCGGTGCATGTACTCGGGCTTCGCTTCTCATGACCAGCTTCCACATCGACAAACGTCTCTGAAGAATCACTGTGGGGTAGCTTTTTGCAGGGATTCTCTGCAATGTATTCGTCGTACGTCTTTCCAGCCTTCTTGGCTTCGTGGCGGACGTGGCGGACACGCCAGAGCCAGATGGCTTGTGAGGCGAAGATGCCGGTTTCAAGCAACATGCTACGCATCATCAGTAAAGTGCATGACCAAGAGAAGATGCCTGGAGACATACCACACAATATACAAGCTTGCGCCGAGAGCATCAAACCACTGCTGTGCGACTATCCCTCTTGTCAGCCATGTTCTCAGGAGCAAGATGCTATGAGCATACCAATTGCCATGAGCGAAAAGAAAGCACCAAGATAATCGATGGTGAGAAACCAGAAATCTAGGTATATCAGCCGCAGTGCTTCGCTTCCCAATGGTTTCACAATGCCCATACCAATTCCAATGACTCTTCCGTTGCGCTTGGCGAGTTCAAAGAAGGGGGGGATGAGACCGACGACCTGGATGATGGTTGCTGATATGGCCATGAGCATCATGGGCCACTCGACGCCTCGGCTATACGGGCCCTGCCAAACACAAACTGGTTAGCCAAGAAGAAACAGACGTCGGTTGTCATGTTGCCTACTCGCAGGGTAAGAATGAGGATGAGTTCCATGATTCCAAAGCTTGCTGCAAGGGCAATTGTCGCAACGGTCGCGGTCCACGCTCGCCATTTGCTATGGCATGTTAGCCTTGGCGGACGAGTACAAGCTGCAGACTGACTTGTGGTAGTATAATGTTTGACCCCAAGCAATCAGCGTAAGACTTGCAAATGCTTGGGGCTGGAACTTGAGTGCAAAATTGAAATTCTAGGCTGGGTAAGTGGAGGCTCAAACGAAGAGGAGTTGTGCTGTATACCTGGACAATGGCGTATACACCAAATGGAACGCCACCTGCAATGGTCAGTGTGGCTTTTTGTTTGGGCAGTTGAGCATCCCACATATTGACCAAAGGATAAGCATGGAGCCGGGCAGGCCTTCAGTGCTCTTCCGGCGCCAGTTGTGCCATATTCTTGGCCATGTCAGTCTTTGCTAGGCTGGTGACATGATGCTGCTTACTGTGGGATGATCTGTTGGGTGTTAGTGGCTGCCATGTCGATTGCTGGGGTCATGCGCCTACCTGTACACACCAGCAACTACCATGGAGAAGCACAGGTTAGCAGACGTTTGAACAAAATTGGGCTCATCTGATGTGCATACACTATTTTCGAGTTAGCATAGTGGCGTGGGTGACAAAAGAGGACCACTGACCAGTTCCCAGAGTCTATTCGTTCGCAAATGACATTAGCATCATGACTCAAGCGTGGTGGAGCAGATGACCTACACCGAGTACGTTCGCAGCCTAGCGTTTTCGGATTAGTACATGAAGCATGCGACATGTCTGGGGGTGACATACTGGTGGAATGGATACTTGTGGACGGTCCATGGTAGGTTGTGAGGGACGTGGCAGGAGGAGTGTAGTGAGGGCGTGAGAGAGGGAGGGAGAGAGGGAGAGAGAGAGAGAGAGAGAGAGAGACTAGGCGAAGGCGAGGTGGTGGTGCAAGGGAGGAGTAAGAGCAAAGTAAAGGGCAAAGTATATATTGGAGCCGGGGCAAGGAGAAGCGACGAGGAAGGAGCGTCGGTGGCGTGTACAAGGTAGTAGCAGCAGCAGCAGAAGGCGTAGCCGTGGTGGTGGTGGTGGTGGTGGTGATGGTGGTAGGTGGGAGATTACGCTGAGATGGTGGAGCTGATGATTTGAGGACGAGGCGTGGGGAGCAGGTGAGGTGCAGGTGAGGAGGCAGGATGGAGGTGGTGGTGTAGGGCGTCGCCAATCCAAGGATTAAGAGGCGGGCGGCGCATCCAGTCAAGAGCGAGTGGTACCTGCCCGCAGCTGCACGAGAGCCAGGCAGCATGTTGGGTGATGACGAACGTGTGCGAGGGAGCATTTTACTAGCTCTGCCGCCGTAGTCGCGAGCAGGAAGCGGAGGGTTAGGGCCATTGTGCCTGTGCGTGCCGAGGAGGCATTTTTTAGAAGCTGGAAGGGCCAAAAAAGGCGGCTAGGGGCGAGGGGGGATGAGGGCGAGGGTCGGGGAAGCTGGATCCCTGCTTCCGCGTCTGTCAATCGCGTTCAGGAAGCGTTTGCATGCGGCAAGAGGAGTGGACGTGGGAGTGGGAGTGGGAGTGGGTGTGTGGGTGTGTGGGTGTGTGGGTGTGTGGGTGCAGGGTGAGTGGCTCTGTTAGTGTGCAGGGCAGGGATGCCTTTACCTTTGCAGTTGCTTCCCCCCCCCCCCCACCGATCTGCAACCCGATTGGCGAGTCTAGACTTATCTGTGGCCGAGGCGAGTTTTTTGCGGCGTCGGCCCAGGAAAGCGCAGCCAAGGCACAGGCGTTGGTGGGCGAGGCGGCGATGATGCATGTATACAGCTAGGTGTGTGTGTGTGTGTGTGTGCATGGATACGAGTGGTGGGCAGTATACTGTAGAGGGAGAGCACGAGAGTGACGAGAGAGACCCTGCATCGAGCGTCTCACCCACGAACCCAGTCGGGCTACTCGACCCGGCGGCCGGCTTTGGCTCGACGGCTGGCCGTGTTTGGCGTCTGCATCTACACCTACTCGTAGCCTACGTTGCAGCCAGCTGTAAATTTAATATGCATTCAACAAAAGCATCCGGTCAAACTCAAGGGCCCGGTGCGGCTCTCACGCGGCCACACCCACACCCACACTGCACAAGCCACGGCCGACGGTAGTCGTTGTGTGAGTCGTGTCAGTCGTCATGGCCGTGGTGCTTGTCAAAGTGGTGGTGGTGGTGGTGGTGGTGGTGGTGGCGGCGGTGGCTTCTTCAACGCCCCACCCCGCTGCATGCTTCAGCTCTCCGGAGCAGCCGGGGGAGATGCTCGCGAGTCTCATTCGACCCGGGCGGCGCTCCTGAAAACTCTGAAGGGGGGTGTGGTGTGGGTAGCTGACGTTGGGGTCAACGGCGAGAGGCTTGCGTGGTGAGCAGGCGGGCAGCACGAGTGCTGTAGCTGGCGTTCCCGAGCCACACGGGTGGAAGTGGCTGCTGCATAACATGGCGTGTGCAACAGTCGTCATTCGAGCGTCTTCGATCTCACCCACAACGGGCACAGGCACAGGCAGGCACGGGCACCTGTGTGGGTGGCTGCATGCAATGCCCGACTAGCAGCTAGCTGGCAGCAGCAGCAGCAGTAGCAGCAGTAGCAGCAGCAGCAGCACGAGGAGGCTCTGCTTTCCCCATCCGAGCGTGTGGCTAGGCTGCCGTTCCTGGCCACAACGCTGACGCTGACGCCGACGCCGCCGCCGCCCCGGCAATTGTCGCTGCATCGCCGGCCCAGATGCCTTGCGTACATACATGTGCATAGCCGATGTATGTCCACCTACGCACACACGCACACACACACACACATACTGCATACACAACACACGCACACGCACGCACACATACACACATATACATGTTGCAGACGCTGCACAAAAAACAAACGCACAGCTGCACTGTCGATGCACGGCACTGCACCGCCCAAAGGCCGTGTCTCTAGCTCGCCGCCCGCCCACCACACAACGTCTTCGGTCCCAGCACACACATACATGTATCTACACACCCCCAGGCGCAAAAAGCATCGTCGGCTGACTCATCCGCCCACCCCGCCCCCCGCCGGCGCACCCGGACACGCATCTACTGTACTGTAGTGTATACGCTCGTATCATAGCCTCATCGCCACGGGGAACAGGCGCGCACTGCGCGGCTGCGCTGATAATGACCCTTCCAGCCTCTCTCGTGAAAGTAGGCCCGTTGGGAAAAGGTGGGGGGGGGCTTGGCCGTGCGTCATGCACCGTGTCCATGTTAACCGCCCTGCCGATCGACGAACCTAGGTTCATCGCTTCATAATGTACATGTACACCAGCACAGCACAGCACAGCACAGCACAGCACAGCACAACACCGCACAGCACAATACACCACCCACGCTGTTGTTATGCATCGCCCTACCTACATACTACACACTACATACGTGTACACGCCCTGACCCCGTCGAGACCCGCGTCGCCTGCATCCGACGCTGCTCCAGTCCAAGTGCAAGCCCCGTGCTGTATACGCGTCGCCTGCAGCCTGCCATGCCCTCTGCCCGTCGTATAGGTAGACCCGACACCACCATCAAACCATCCATTCCCCATGGTCCGCTTTGCATAATACGCCTTGCATCACCAAAGCCAATTCTGCCCGTGTCCCCTCCCCCTTGATGCCGCCTGGTCTGAGCATTCAAACAGGCATTCCAAGCCAACCTCGGCCACTCTCTCCCTCAGTCCATCACCATCATCACCACTATCATCACCACTATCATCACCACCACCACCCATATCTCAGCACTCGTGCCTTCACCCTCCGTCATACTGATCCTCATCTTACCAGGCCAAGGCTCACATCGGTGCCCTACGAAATCCACGAGACCAATACCATGAAGCCACGAGGCTGGAGTACGTGAACCTCCCAGCCGTAAGACGACTTCTACAAAGCCCCACATGGCTATGGTACCGGCACACGTCGGTATGCCGATGGCGTAAGCAACCAGTCGATGGCGGTCCGAAGCCAAGCCTGTGCTGCATTCCGCCATGTGAATGGACAAAGCAGCCTATTTGCAGTGCCGTTGCCACGAGGGGCCTTCCATGGTTGCTTTTGCCGGAAGAAGCCTCCATTCTTCTTTAACCCCGGAGTACTAGGAATCACCGTGACGCCCCCACGACCAGAACCCTCTTATTGGCCTCTGGGCTATTCAGCCTGGCCTCTGATCGACCAACCGTGTAAAACTCTGCATTTGGGAGTCTGTCGTTGTTGCCATCGCGCGAAAGGTGCATATGTGCAGCTCATGAGGAAGCAACCTCCAAAGTGGAATCCTTCATGGCGGCCTAGATGCCCGACGCAAGACGTGCGTGACTGTTGCCACCCTGCCAACCCGACCAAGTTACGGAAAAAGGTGCATGCGAATCTGGGGGCTTCACCGATGAACAGAGTCAGACGGATCGCTACGTACCGGCATCATGACGTGCAGCATTAATCTGATTTGGAAGCTCGCTTGACCTGAGCAGGATTCCGCCAGACGCGCTCATGCTGACAGGAGCCATGCCATCGTCCATGGCTCGCCATCGCCATCGCCATCGCCATCGGTCGGCAACCGCGCCAGAATAATATAACACTGTTTCTGCATACTACATAGCCCTACGTACTTGTGGGGCTGCTAAAGCCTCTGTCAACCCCTCGGTGTTTGCCACACAGTAAGGCAGACTGAGAGAGTCCATCTACTGCCAGCTACATGCCCAGACTAGCAACGAACACGTCTTACAAA